TCCGTTTGCTTTTGCCCAGAATGGTGCTAGTCTACTCGACTGCTTTCATTTCCGGTAACTTTCCAGTAAATCACGTGGTTCCTAGTTGAAAACAGCAGAGTATTCATTGCATACTTCGGTAGTGTACAAGCAAGTGCTACAAGGAAACAAATATATCATTCATATTTCGTTTTTTTCTGCCGTTATTTGGACATATAAAATGCTTTGGAATGTTATAAGGATTTTTTGCTCTTTAAAAGGATTTTTTTGGTAGTTTATACAGGTTGGCGCTCCGAAAAGTTGACAGGTATGTGTGTATTAGTGTTTTCACATTGCTTCTGAGGTTTTCAGTGGTGTGAGAGCGAATGGCGAGTGTGTGTGAACTAATGTGTGAGGGAGTATCAGTAAGTGACGACATTTCTGTGGTGCCGTTGAAGTAGAGCATTGCGTGTAAGAGTTTTTCATGAGTGTATGTATGAGAGTATATGTGCTAATGCGTGAGAGAATGTCAGTAATGTGTGAGAGTATTTCGGTAGAGTGTCAGGGTGTTTCAATATTGTGTGTGTGTGTGTGTGTGTGTGTGTGTGTGTGGGAGTGTGCGTGAGAAAGAGCATTTTAATAGTGTGTGTAGACACTTGAGGAGTATGAGAGTATTTCAGTACTGTGTAAGAGTGGGAAAGTTGAGTGTTTGAGGGTGTTTCACGGTTGTTGGTAAGTGAGGTCGTCCTGGATTGTGCCCCTGATGGCCACTCTCATTTAAGCACCCGCCCGCCCGCTCGCACGCACGCACACACACAAACACGCACACACACACAAATGTCGAAGCACAAAGAGCTTTGCACCAATGAGCCTTTTTTTCTGTGTCATTGTCAGCCTGAACACAAGCAGCTATCTTGCGTTCTGGGTCGCAGCAACCTGCAGTTTTCGGGCAGGCGGGTCATCTTCAGCGTCTCCGCAGACACACTCACTCTCCTCGCGGCGTCCTCGCAGGTGACCACTTGAGCACAACACACGACAACGCTGACATGAAACGTTCAGCTATCCAAGCATTCTCTTTCTCTTTCTTCCGTTCTTTCTTAGAGAATCACCCAGCACTCCATCCAGGCAATTTCCTTCGCCTCCGGGGGAGATCCAGTATGTTTGTGTTTTTTCATGTGACATACGCTATGCGCTGCTTTAATTCAATGTACGGTGGCTCCCTTTGCTGCCTTTTGTGCGGAATATTGAATTATTTTTTCCTGGCCTTTAATTGGTGCTGCAAGGTCAGCAGTGCAAACTTCAGTGTTTTCACCTCACAGTCTGTCTTTAAAGCAATTACCGGTAGTAAGTTGTTCTACATTGTAGGCCAATGGTTGGAAGCACGAATCAAAACAGCTCATGTCAGCAGCAGCGTGCCATGTGGCTCAAACTCTGCTTGATAAACAGATTTGTATTTGTTTATTTTGTTTCCCCTACCTTTATTGCTCTAATGGTTCTTGATGAACCCGTCAAAGGCAAATTAGCACAGGAATACAGCCTGCTTATTGATTCACGATCAAAATAGTCTTCTCGAAGCGGCTAAAGAGGTGCAGAAGACGGGCACTGGGACATTTTTCAGAGAGGTTATGCTGCAATGTCAAACAGCCCTAAGGTCAAATATGGAATGATGATTTTACATGTTCAGGGTTGAGCTGATTCGGCGACGAGCGAACGAGTACACTTTACTACAGAGCATGGACATTGAAAGCTTGAGGTCCACTAACCACTAATCACGTGTTGTTGGCATCTTGCCTTCTAATCAGCCAATTTACAGAGGACTTCCACCCACCTGACTGCTGCCGTCATCGGCCTTTAACGCTCTGTGGAGCAGCGAGCTGTCCAGCCGACAAGGCAACACAGTCTTCCGACATCTGCGCGGGTCAGAGAATATGAAAATTAGATGGTGCTGGATGAGCTAGCGGTTAGCCGAGCTAGCGTTAGCTGTTCTGGTCAGCACTAGTTTCAAAAGATTCATACTAGCAATATCTTCGTTGCTGGGAAATCGTGTTGTTATAACTCAACTTTATTGTGACATTTGTCGTTTTACGACACCGAAAGCAACACTTTTTTGGGGAATATTTTTGAATTGATGTAAAGTGTTTTATTTTCTCATATTAACCCTTTCAGGGACAGCGGATGCGACAATGGACAGCTTCTCATGTTATCAGGTTACAGGGTGCTTGAAAGGGTTAAACACAGTGATAATCGAGATACTTTTTTAAGAATAACCTTTTTTGTCGACATAAAATGAGCTTACGACGCTGTTGTATTTTTATCTTGGTCATTATGGTGGTCCCAACAATTTTTTGATGCAGTTCATGGTGTAAAAAGAAGCACTGCACTAAAAATATTGAAACATATTCATGCACTAATGTGTTTGCAGGACATGGAAGACTACATTGCCTATGTAGCCAAAGATCAAGTCAGTCAAAGAGGTACAGTGGATCTCTGTTTTTGTCTCCGATCACAATGTTGCTCTTTGTATTCCTTACTTCTTTTTGTCTACTTGCAAGCGTGTCACATCCTGGAGTGTCCTCAAGGCCGAGCAGCAGAGGTCATCCATAGCATTAGTTGGGCCTTTGAGTCTCGCTTCAAACAGCTTCTTTGTCACGCGCCATCACTCATCTCTGCTGATCCCAGGTCAGCGTCACCGGAAAGATTGTCTTTCCTGCTCTTGATGGTTGCTTGGTTTTCTTGGTTTTTCAATTTGTCTATTTACCCCGGCAGTAAAAAAAAAAAACAAAAAACAAAAAAAAAAAATGGAAATCCAATGCTACTTAGACAAGTATTACTTCCAGAAAAATGAAATGACAAACAGATGAATCACATTAAATGATAAGATGCTGTATTTGTTATGTCACAATTATAAACAATTACTTGATATTTATGGACTGCATTTGCCCCCATGAGTACTTAGAAATTCAGATCATAATTCATTTTCTGCGTGCAGATCAAATCAAAGAATGTGCAACAAATGGATCCCAGATGACAATTTCATGGGACCGAAAGATGTCGATGAGGATGACGATGGTGAGAACGGCGATCATAATCACTACTACAATGTGACTCCAGGGAAGATGCCACCTTTTGGTGGAGTAGAGGACCTGTGGGTCACAAGGGCAGAGAAGGAAAAGGTAATCATATAAAAACAATTTCGCATTTCAGTGAACCCACACTATTTGCAGGCATCAGTGAGCGAGCTGTACCGCGAAGAGCAAACACCTGATAGTCATTCACGGTTGAACTTGAACAAACAGATTTTTTTTTTTTTTTTAATAGACTACTATAACATGATGAACGTCAAAGTAAAGTTGATTAACTGAAATTCTTTTCAGCGCAGTACAGTGGTTCTCAACAAACATATTTCAATAGACAGGCATAGAAAAAAAAAATAAAAACTTTAAAATACAATTGTAACTCGTACATGGACCTAATTGTAATTATCATCATTGCACAGACACGCACGTACACACGCCATACTGAAATATAAATTTATATATCATGTGCCCCCTTATTATGGTGGAGGGATCTTGGCTTTATACTCCCGGCAGGGAACCAAGTCCTAGTTGAAGGATCAGAAAAAGTATGGCTCAAAAGACCCCGATGCAGTTCGGTAGTGTGAGTAAGCGCGCTTCATTAGTGTATGTAGCAACGTTTCAGTGGTGTGCGTTCATTTTTATTAGTTCTCATAATTTTGATGAGACGTGACTATGGCCTGAGCTAAAATAACAAAACAAAACAAATGCAGCTGTGCCTTGATAAAAGGTCAATTTGTTCCGTGAAGTTGTATCTCAAAACACTTTTATCTCAAATCATCTATCCCCTATTGATTGCAATTCATCCCTTCTAGCAAGATAAAAATGCTTTCAATTGTCCATCAGTTTCAATGTGAGTGTGAATGGTTGTTTGTCAACATGTGCCCTGCCATTGGCTGGCAACCAATCCAGGGTGTACCTCGCCTCTTGCTAGGATAAGCTTCAGCTTACCCGGGACTCTCAATGATGACAAATGGTATTCATCTTGGCTGTATGGACGGATGGAGTTGTTGACAAAATTAAGTTCTTTTGATTAGGAAGACTTGTGATAAGAGTTAAATTTGGAGATGACAGTTGTAATTGAGTCATCATTTGATTTTGGAAAATGGACTACTGTCTGATGCTTAAAGGACGACTACTGTCTGATGCTTAAAGGGACAGTGTGTAAAAAAATTTAGATTTTTCAATGCTCATTATTTCAAAAACACAAAGTGTATTTCAGTCAGATGCAAAATTATTTCATATCAACGTACATTACTCACGATTTTTAAAATGAATATTAAACGAATGCCTTTTTCTTATACAGTAAATAATTTTGTCTTTGTTTGAATGACTCTCCCTTTATTGTTTCAGGTTGGTTCCGCTACTTCTGTTAAACTCTATGAGAATTGTTCCATCACACTGGATACAGATGCTCTAACAACAGGTACACCTCTTTGAGTCCAGATACATAAACTTCCTGACAAATATTTCTTTCAATTCATATTTTATCCCTAATTCTTTGAAACGTTTCACATCTTTTTGTGGGTGCCAGGACTGTCATTGAATTTTGGAATTTTCAGGATACATCTACAAATCTGTCAGCTAACGTTGCTTCCGCTCTCCTCACTACAGAAGGCTACAATGCCTTGAGTTATGAGTGACTCAACTTTTTGGTTACACAAGCTATTACAAGAAAACGTACACTAACAAGACTTGAATATGGAAAAAAAAAATCTCACGGAACATTAGCTGTGTTGTTGCTTTGGTCCAGGTATATGTGTAAAAAAGATTCTGGTCAAAGGACCGATTTTACTCCTCTCCTTAAATAAAAGTCGAGTAGTACTGGTACCCGGAAATCTACAGAGGTGGACTAACAAAGTATCTGTACTTCACTTATTGTTATCCGCTACCCTTCTGCTTTAGACCCTTTACAGTCTGAGATGAGGAGTATACATTGTTCTCTTCCTTGTGGAACATACATCCAGAACCTGATCCAGGAGGAGGGTTGGTTTCATGGCAGGTGGATATTTTGTTTTTTTCGTTGTCTGCATGACTATTATACTGCCTCCCAGTGGTCAAGGCGGCCACACCAGAAAGAGCAGCACAATGAATTGGATCGCAAGATTAAATCATGATGTACACACAATATAACGATACTCCCAGTCATATATTCTTCCTCCTAAGCATAGAATGACTAATATTAATGCCGCACTGTTGAGCTGAGAGAGGAGATGAGATGTTTCAATTAACAGTCTTCTACTGCCCCCAGGTGACTAAGGCGGGCACAACAGAAATAGCAGCTCAATGGCTATTCAAATGATGCAGAATATTTTACTGCTCCGTGTTTTTATGAAATAGACTGCGAGCGAGTTCCGTCTTTCCTTCCTAAAAATGCAAACATAAATGTATATTTTTTTTGGGGGGGGGGGCGGCTAGAACGGATGAAAGACATTTATCATTCATTTCAATGGGGGGAAAGATAATTTGCGGGTAGCTAACATTTCACAAGGATCTCATACTTATTTTCAATTTCGCAACGGCCATTTAAAAATCAATAAATGACTTGCTCTAGATTAAGGACAGTATTTTTGTAATACTGCGATCTTTTACTCAGGTTAAGAAGAGAGCAGGCCGAGTCACTTCTGTCTTGTGATGGAGACTTCCTGGTCCGAGAGAGCAGCTCGGCTTGCGGTCAATATGTGCTCAGTGGGATGGATGGAAGCACGGTTCGACACCTATTGCTGGTCGATCCACACGGCCAGGTTGGCGCCACAAAAACAGAACATGAACTCGAATCAGGACCTTTCCTTCTTAAAATTCATCATTTCTGTGTGTGTATGTGCTTGTGGGCAGGTTCGGACCTGTGACCAGGTTTTTCGTAGTGTGGGTCACCTAGTCCGGTTCTACATGCGCAGCCAGATACCCATCATGACCGGAAGCAACCAGCTTTGCCTCAAACAGCCAATCCTGCGGAAGCATTAACATAAACATGGAGGCGCATCTGCATCTCTAATGGCTATATGGACATATGTTTGACCTTTTATTCCATATCCTTCATATCCAGCGCAAGGTCTATGTGTTAGTGAGGATAAGCGGTTCAGAAAATGAATGGATGTCTATTATCTAAGTAACTCAGAATTACTTTAAATGTTTGGTCTATATTTGGTGAATTACCAGGAGATACCGCGGCACATCTACTTGATTCGATTGGAGTCTACATATAGGTCATTTGAAACTCCGTTAAAGGTACAACATGCCTTCCTCTGCACAGTATTTATCACATCCACTTTGTGCCTGTCTGGCTTTCTAAGCACAAGCACCAGTGTTTTTATGTCCCAAGGTATCCAGAATGTATGCTAGTTTGGTCATGCATTTCAAAAGCAGTGGAGAAAAAGGATGATTGTAATTTTTCAGAACGCCAGTTCCTATCAAATTCCCGTTGGAAATAATGTGAATGGTTTCTTGAGATGGTGTATTTTAGAGTTTAGCAAGGTATAATCATCATAATTATAAATGATATTCGATCATATCCCCCTCCGTATGTGTTACAAAAATGGAAGGGGGTTATTATTATTCAAATGTCTAGGGACGGCAAGAGATCACTGTCGGTGTCATAGAATTATATTTTTAAAGAGAACCTTCAAAGCTAGCATTGCCTTGATTGACCGTTCTGATTTTCCATTATATTCTAAATAACTCTATTTGTAATGCCCTTTGTCTTTGTGATATAATGCACAGCTTTGTTGCTCCTGTTTCATGTTGTTGTCATTGAAAAAAATGCTCTTGTATCGCTTTCCTTTGATGAAGCCTTTGCCTCGCAGAAAAGTGATCATTATATTTATGTAGTTATAATTATGTTATAATTATGTAGTGCATGATTGGAAAAGAGTTTTTGACAAAATCATCTTTGTCCGAAATACAGGAACATGCACTCATTGTGTAAATTATTTAAAATACTAAATATCTAAATAGCAACCCCTAAAATGCTCACCTTTATGACCAACCTACATGTTAAACATAACATAAAACAAGTTTTACAGCATTTTTTTGTTTGTTTTGCTGTAATTTTGAAGTTGTCTTCTGTAAGTGCTGGAACGTGTTTTATCACAGAGATATTTTAAATAGCAGTACTTCTGTTTTTCATATTGTATCAATGTTTTCAGCTGTAATGGAGTGGGTTCATCAAACCAGTGCAACCTTGTTACTCATGTTACCAGAAAAAGACTATTTGTCTATTCATGTCAGCGTTTTAGCTACATTTGTTCTTGACAGGTTAGCACAGCATCTAGCAAAGGTGGAATATTGCCACACTTGAGCAAAAAAATCCCGAATTATCAGTGATTTGCAACTCAGTCGCTTTATTAACCCTTTCAGGGACAGTGGTTACTGCAGTGGACATCTTACCATGTTATCAGGTTACAGTGTGCATGAAAGGGTCAAATTAACATTCAAATAAAATTGAAATGTGTTGATGTAATTGTATTACTTGAACAATATTTTCTGAACAGATATTTTCAGGTACCTGAGTATATGTAACAGAGTCATGCCAAGCACAGCAAAATATATGGAATGGCAAATATAAAAACTATATATCATTAATGTTAACATTTGAGCTGGATTTGACTTTATATATATATATATATATATATATATTTTTTTTACCAATTTTCTTAAAACATAAAAAATTATAAAATGTTCCATTATTCATGGTCTCTTTTAGCCACATGATGGCGCTGATGTCTTTGCTGGTAAATTGAACAGAGTGAAACCTTCCGTGACCCTCCTCGGGATTTCGCTGTTGTGCTTGTTGACGTTGCTCTCCTTTCCGTCACTTTCACACAGCTGATCACTTTGTCATATTTCGAAGTAAAAGATGACTGACTGCGAGCCAAAAACTATGAAGTTGATTATTTTTGGGGCCCTTCAGAAGAGAGCCACTGAGGGAGGCCTGGGGATACAATCACAACATTTGCATACCTTACAAACTTCCCACAATACTTTGCAGTGTCTCTTCTGCTGGGTCAAAAGCGTGCGCCTTCACGCCGTGCAAAGGCTAAACACAATAATAGTATCTGCGCCTAATCAGATTGTGTCCTAGCCAAACTAAGACTCGGACATCCAAAAACAATTGACGCTGAACATGTGCATTTCACTAATTTGGTTGCCTTTCTTTCCACTCCCAGTGCTTTCCCAGCTTCGTGATGTCCCTGCAGAGTCTCTCTGAGTCACAGGGACCTCGCCCGAAGCACGACTCACCAGGAACAACAGTGAGCTCGCGTGTCAGGTAGAGTACATGTTTCAGTCACTTAGTGGGAGTTCACCACTCATGTCAGAGCATTGGTATGGAAAGACATTGGAGAACTGTATTCCATGTCACTGATAGCTCCATAGCAAGAATATCGAAAAAAAATGCTCAACCAGCTTTACGAAAAGCTTCAAAGTTCCATGTAGAGATAAATTACAATCAATGTCATTTATAAGACGCGTACTGTTTAGTACGGCTGTTTGTGTGTTTCAGCAGTTGTTTGAACTGAAGAGCTGCATTTTTACCATTGTTTGCGGGAAACAAATGGTGTAATTGATTTTCCTTCATAAACTGTACAGTGTTTGTGCCAAATCTGTTTCGAAAGCTCCCTAATTTAAGATAACCAAAATATGAAAAATCCTTGTGAAAGGGGAAGTCCAGCCCAAAGTTTTCTTTACAGTGATATGTGCGGTGCGCCTCCACTAGTCTAAACACGGCATACCGATTCTTAATGTGTTTGTGGAATATGAGGTAAGCAGTAACATCTGAGCCCTGAGCAACTGTGATGTCATTTTCAGTCGACAGCTCTCGTGGCAAAATGGCCGCCTCTGAGATGGACAAAAAAGGGCGGAGTTTGCTGCTTAACTCTTATTCCACAAACGCAATGCTAACCACAATGCCATGTTTAGACTAGTAGGGCTGCACAGACTTTATTATCGTGAAGAGAATTTGGAGGTTGCCTCTCCCTGAACATTTTGCAAGAATTTCTTGGTTACATAAATAGCTTTGTTTTTCTAAATGAAGGAATCTTACAAACAACATTATGCATGAACCCTTACCAGTTTGAACTGATGTCAAAATAGAGTTTACATGGTAGGATGTCTGACATGTTACCATTTTTGTGTCACTGAAGGACAGATTTTATAAAAACCTTTCAACTCAAGGCCTAAATTAGACATGGTGTTCCTTGGTACCCAAACTGACATATACGAATACTCATCATAAAAAAAGCACAACAGGGGCTTTCATTTAAGGCCCAAAATATATTCAGTTTATCTATTAAAAACAGATTTGTTATTGAATATTGTTGTTGGTCATGATGATTGCACTTGTTAAAAGGTTGACAACCACTGCAGACAGTTTAGGCGGTGTTTTGAATCACATACATGCAAGAATACTCACGATGATGGACAGTCTCAAGTAAAAACACCAATGATGGAATCTGTTTCCTCTTGCTAATGTCAACAGCAATACACATGTACCCCCACCGCCCTCCAAACCAACTTTAATTTATGACACCGGGTGTGTGTGTGTGTGTGTGTGTGTGTGTGTGTGTGTGTGTGTGTGTGTGTGTGTGTGTGTGTGTGTGTGTTGCGCTCTGAATCCTTTGCAGAATTGACTTGAGGGCTTCGCTTGATATACAAATATGACAAAGCGTTACCAGACTCTACAGCGCCTTAATGGAACAATTTGAGTCATAAAAGGGTCCAGAGCACAAGAGCATGAAATTGTTCCTCGACTGAATGTTATCAGTGTCGCACAGAGTTCACATCTCGAAGGAAACTAAACAACGCTGGCAACACTTACTTACTCTCATGGCACAAACCACCTCATGTTCCTGTGCGGACAGGAGGAGGAGGAGCAGTCATGTGACGCTTTGCAAACACAAAAACAAAGACGGCACACCACTTTGTGTGTGTGTGTGTATATGTGTGTGTGTGTATATGTGTGTGTGTGTGTGTGTGCGTGTGTGTGTGTGTGTGTGTGTGTGTGTGTGTGTGTGTGCGTGCGTGTGTGTGCGCGTGCGCGTGCGCGTATGACTGCCTGCTTTCCTGATTCCACAAGTCGGGAGCCAGTGAGACCATGCTTAGCGCCGTGTGTGTGTGTGTGTGCGTGTGTGTGTGTGTGTGCGTGTGTGCGTGTGTGTGTGTGTGCGTGTGTGTGTGTGTGTGGGTGTCTGCCTGTCGCCTGTCTGTGTGTGATATAGTGAGAAGAAGAGAGAGAGAGAGAGAGAGAGAGAGAGAGAGAGAGAGAGAGAGAGAGAGAGAGAGAGAGAGAATGAGAAAACTCCCCATCATGAAGGGCCTTCGGGGAAATAATTTGCTTGATCAATAGATTTTTTTTTTAAGCTTAGCAATCAATCAGTCATTTCCGTAAATATGACAAAGATAAAGCCAACCAAAAATAAACACATTACTAAAATGCTCTCATACACACCAGTAAAATGCATATTTGAGGATATGAGATGAGCATATTTTAGTGAGATGTGTGGGAGGTTTTCAGTTCTGTAAGAGTTTTCCAGGAGGCTAAAATGTGAGAGTTGCAGTAGCAGAGCATTTCGAAGTGTTTCAGCAGTGTATTAAAAAAAAAAGTCAGTAGTGTGTGTGAGTTTTCCAGTAGTCTACTGTACAGTATATCACCGAAAAAAGAAAAAAAAAATCTGTAGTGTGGGAGATTTCAGTAGTGCCTGTGACAGCATTGGTGTGTGTGTGTGTGTGTGTGTGTGTGTGTGTGTGTGTGTGTGTGTGTGTGTGTGTGTGTGTGTGTGTGTGTGAGAGAGAGAGAGATAGAGAAGACATTTCAGTTGTGTATCAGTATTGTATATCATAGAAAGTTTTCATTTTAGTCATCACTATGAGAGGATTTCAGTAGTGTGTGCAAGAGCACCGCATGTGAGAGCGTTTCAGCGGTGTAAAAACTGGAATAGTGTGTGTACATCTACATTCATCATCACTCAAATCATATTCATGTTTCACCAACATGAATATGATTTTATTTTGTGCATTTATAATGGTGGTGAGACATGATTGTAATGCATGCAACCAACGCCCATACTTTTGTTAATATAAATCAGACTCTTTTTTTCAGTGAACGTGAAAGCGTTTCTGTAGTGTACAGGAGGGCAGAAAAAAACTGGAAATATGTGTGAGAGCATTTCAGTAGTGTGGTTTAGTATTGTCGGTAAGAAGTAATCGTGAATGATTACAGCCTCCAGTGGGATTTACCTCTTTGTGCTCCACCCTAGCATGATGAATATTTTCTGATCAATGTATGGACAGTTGGCCTGGGATTGGAAACACCCATGTACTGTCTGTACACACACACACACTGTGCTGGAATTCCTTTACTTCGTCCAAATCTCCATCTTTCCACTGTCTTTTTATCGCTGCATCAATGGAAAATAGGTCATTGCTGGTTGAAGTCATTAGCTTCTGCTTCAAGTGTGCATGACACTGTGTGTGTGTGTGTGTGTGTGTGTGTGTGTGTGTGTGTGTGTGTGTGTGTGTGTGTGTGTGTGTGTGTGTGTGAGAGAGTGCGTGTGTGTGAGTGTGAGAGACACATCATGATGAAGGGAAGTAAGGGAGTGGAACATTGCAGCACGAGACAACAGAGGGACTGAAGACATTGTGGAGTTCCAATTTTTCTCTTAGCTGCTTCTCTGCCTGAGTTCATTTCTCTTTGCCGTCTTCTGTTTCAGTTTCCGGTGCGTTCTAGTTGGAAAGAGAGAATGTTTTACACCAAATAGCAACTCAAAAAATATGACTTTCCATGTACCACCTTCATGACCGACATTTACCGGGAATAATCGCATGGACTAAAGAGTTCATCAGCAATGAGGCAGAGGTTTTAGTCCTAAAAAGTTTAGCGCTGGCGTCAGGCTGGAACCTCATGAGTCATAATTTGATGAATTTCATATTTTTTCAAAACTCTAACCTATCGGTCAGTGTGCATGTGGAGGTCTGAGTTCTACAACTCATTGACCAATCTAATGTGTTGGAAAAGGCTTTGCTCTTTGACGATGCAATCTTAACGGTTGAACCATCATGCCGTTTTTGGGTGACTATTTTAGAACGACAAGATTTCAGTCCAACGATGGCGATATGGAATATAATTGTAATGCACTGTAACATTATGCAGTTTGAACATTCACAATGTAAAGATATGAAACAAACTGTGCTTCAACAATATAATCCTATTAAAATGTATTGCACGTAAAATCCAAACCAAAAATTGTATCTTCAAAAACGTTTAGAACAAGCAGTTCTATAAGATTACATGAAAATGTATTGCACTTAAAA